TTATAGCTAAAACACATGGAATTATCATGAAACGGCCCTCCTATTATCAGAAATTTGCGGGCCGCTGCAAATGATAGTGGACCGATCAACCTTAACGACGGGCCACTATCAGTTCTGTTGTTAAGTGACGTCATTGTGGGTGCGTCGGTTCATTCGACTTTGGCTTTGGACTGGCAGATATTCTGGGGCAAACAAGTCAAAGCAACCCGAATTCCCGCTTTAAATAGCGGTAATATTGGCTTTCTTTCTGGTGCTAACCTTAACAATTGCACTATTTACGTTTTTGTTGGACCAAAACAGAACACTGACAACTGACGTTGTGTCTGACATAGTTTGACATGTTGCAGGCCATGGTCTTGTCAAAGGCCAAGGGCGAATATCGTCACGTTCTGTTGTGACGTCACTTGAATTGTTCGATGACGCAATTGCATTCGGGCAGTCAACCCCCTCAGAAGTTGGTTTTGAGTAAACTTACAGTCAAATTCCTTCATTGTTTCCTTTTTCTTTTCAACACAAATTCCATGTATTTTAGCAATTATAACGATAATGCTATTTTTGAGGGCATTATCATTTGCAGAAGCCCTTGGTCTTTTTCAACTGTTTTTCAGTTAATGGAAGACCTAGGGCTTCTGCAAATGATAATGCCCTCAAAATTAGCATTACCCATATATTGAAAGACATTGAAACATCATACTTGTTGTTACCCTGCCTTCGGCATTTAGAATATAAAACAGGGTCCGTTCTCCTAGGATTCAGTATAATGTGTTGAGCGGGATATTCATGTTAAACTGAGGCCTGATATCTCATCGGGCTCAGTACGATTATAAAATCATCACAAGACCGAACAAGTACATTCAACAACACACACACGTGCAATCAAGTCGCAATTTAAGCGCAGCAATCTTCAACGCGATGCTGAAACCCAATTCACGAAGAAATGGTACGCCTGTTAACACCCTCTTAGATATTTACATAGTTTCGTCCTAACCAGGACCAGAACAGTCGTTCTACAATTGGCCGCTTCACAAGTTTGATCTGTTTGTCAACGGGTAGTGTTAACAATGTGCTTTCCAATGACCAAGCAGGGTGAGGGCGTTTGAACGGTTCACATAGCTGGGCTAACACGACAGCGATACGTTGGTCTACTTACGACCTTGAGACCATTGTAGCTGTAATATCTGTTACTGAGTGACTGAGTGAGTGAGTTTAGTTTCACGCCGCACTCAGCATTATTCAAGCTATATGGCGGCGGTCTGTAAATAATCGAGTCTGGACCAGACAATCCAGTGATCATCTGTTACTGCAATAAGGCCTGTTAGTCTCGCGAGGCGCTCCTTCCGGTACTAAGCAGGTTCCCGGTTCCCTTTGCCCGGCTTACCTTCGGTACCAGATTTCCGGTGACAAGCGTATATTCAAGAACCTGTTTTGGTTCCAAATTGCTCGACCGCCAAATATGACTTTACTAGACCGGACAAAGTGTACAACCATGCTTGGTTGTCACAGCTGTTGACAGTCGTAATAGTTGGCTAATTTGGGGATGGTTAGATCGGAAGTTTGTTATTCCTGCAAGAATTATCTGTTCCTTGCTGTCAACTAACAACCACGAGACCGTTCGGAAAGGTGTGAAACGTTGTTTAACACCAGAAATACTAAGGTCTCGCAAAGTGTCCTTACCTACGAGCTGGGCGAGCTGGCTACGGCGCCAGGCTAGTAATCCAGCGAGCATGAGGTGATGGGATTGGGCCCACCCGTGACCGGGTGTAAACACCTTGGAGTCCACTTTGCGTGCAGACTCTCTCAGTGTTGTCACAACCCCTAGTGTACAGTACACAACCCTGTGCACTTAAAAGAACCCACGAATTCGTTGGTATATGATCATATGTTGGCCACATGAATACGTGCAAACACCTAGTTGCGGGTACAGCAACATGCAGTAAAACTTGGACAAAGTACTGTGACTATGTGTCCCAGTCCACCCAGCTGTGAATGGGTACTTCGCTAGGATGGGAAAGCCACATTATCTCGGTGCGCCTAGTGGCTGCAAGAGTTGTATGGAGTTGAGATTGATAATACATTGTGCCGTTTGAGACTGACAATGCTCGAGGGAAAAAACCAAGCGCCTTTGAGCAGGTGATCTGGATATTGGCGCTTATTAAATACATATAAATAAATAAATAAATACAAATGATCGACCAACGACGTCCCTTTGCGGGTATGTGCAGGTAAGCACGATCCTGCGCAGTCAATTAACATGCAGAGGGTCCCGAAGTGACACAGGCCAAGTGACACAGAGGCTCGTCGTTGTGTTGTTATTATTGGCAGAACCCAACAGTAGCAGTGTTGAATCACTGTTGACACGTCATCAACTACCCTCACCTTACTTGCATGGTCCATGGCAGGTTTACAAGACACGATAAATCGAATTGTCCGTTGACACTTTCATATTGATCTGGTCTACATTTAGCACATGTCGAACCCGTGATTTCGTCATGTTCAGTCAAATAGCGTGACCTATATCTGGCGTTGTGTGTGCAACGATCGTATGACTTATGAGTGTCTGGGCTGATTTAGTGAAATGGAGAGATACTACACAGCGTCCTGTTGTGAATGTGTGTCCAGTTTGTAAATAACACCCAACCTACATGAACACATGTACTGTATACTGTAGGGTTATAAAGGGCGGGGGCTGTAGGGGTAGCCTGGTCGTAAAAGCATTCGCTCGTCACGCCGAAGGCTCGGGCTCGATTCCCCAGATGGGTACAATGTGTGTGTAGCCCATTTCTGGTGTCCCCGTCTTGATATTGCTGGAATATTACTAAAAGCGGCGTAAAACCATACTCACCCACTCACATAGAGACGTAAAACTAAACTCACTCACTCACTATAACGGGCATGTTAAACAGTTTACACACAGGGCATTACATACAACGAAGAGGGTGACCTCAAAAAGCCCATGATAAAGACATGCCTGCTCTCAAATATTCATTTTGTTTTATGTCTGAATTACTTCTCTGAAATGGGACCAATTCCTCGAATGTTTTTTCATTTAAAATTGGAAACATAAACAAACAAATACCAAACTGAATATAAGAATAGTCTAAATGGAAAAGGCGCTGTGAACTCTAACATATTTGTATAGAATGAGTGAACATTTCTTTCTCTTCACTTTTCAGTTTGTTGTGTTCCAAAATGTCAGAAATGTGAAAAAAGAACTCCAAGATAGAGAAGAGATTTAGTTTCTGTTAGTGGCGATGATTATAACCAAATATTTTAAGTAATGAGCTTAGTTTATGGTAATATTGAGAGGTCGTGATGTCCCTAGTATGGTGATCTACCTTCCGTTATTGCCGATCTATAGCCAGTTTTTATATTGTATTGTCCAAATAGTGGTATTCGTTTTAAATTTCCACACTAGTTTTAGTTGGAATTGTGATATTCTAGTTGTTTTACTGTCCTTTGCAGACAGGTTTTTATAATATACACATATAACATTTCAATGTCAAATATGTTCTCGTCACGATATGGCTGAAATATTGCCGATGTGACGTTAATTCTTAACTCACTCACTCACTCACTCAGAGGTCGTGATGATATTGATAACAGTAACATTAACATAAAACACAGGATGTAACTGAAATGATAAGTCAATTTTACTATTTACAATTGGCACAAGATTATCAGTATCTGAATAACAATACGAAAACAACATGTTTCAATATGCAATGTAACGGGTTAAACAACTTAAAATCAGCTTTACACAAACATATATAGTAGAGGTGCCATACACAGCCACTTACATTTCAATATGTTTTTCCGTTGGATCTAATTGTCCATAAATGACACGCTCACAACACGTGGACAACTGGTATCATCACTATTTCACAGTGATTCATAAATACATGCTATCACATGGTGACTATCACTGAATTGCCTGGTGCAACCTCGATTGATTACAAACAACATTGTACAGCTGTAATATTGCCGAAATAAATGTATATGCATGATAAAGACAGAATTGTACAGTCGACCCTACTTTTAGTAGATATTTCTTATGGATATGGAAAGGGATTTGTCGCTTCTATTCACTTAGATTTATTTTAAGTTTATGGTAATATTCACAGACACGTCCTCCTATTGATAACACCTTTTCATAAACACTTACTTAAGATGCACTTGGGATTAACTGAAACGGTATTCAGATTACTATTGCCATACGCCACAAGAATTTGCATAACATCCATATGTCACTTTGGAAACCAATCAAACACAACAAAGCATATAACCTCACAGGCGAAAGAAACGTCACCTCGCTTTTTTTACATGTCACAAAACAATAAACTCAGATTTTGGAAGTTAACAATCATATTTGGAAAATTAATGGATCTACAACATTCTGAATGATGAAAGTGTGAACTACAGATATGAATAATCAGTTAGTGAGGTGAGGTGAGGTGAAATTGGGTTTTAACGTCGTGCATGAGAATATTTCGCTCATATGACGACGTGCATGCGTGTGAATGTGTATGTGCGGCTACTTGTACTAGCCCAGACTTAATCTGGTTTAATAGTGCTAGCCCACTGAGATACCATGCGGTAGTGAAGCATGAGTACCCCACTCAGACACATTATACTGACTCCGAGCCGACCAGTCCTTGGTGTACCCAGTAATGCCGATCGCCAGACAGGGGCCAACAAGTACCATATTTTAACGTCTTTTTGGTATGACGCGGTCTGGGATCGAACCCGCGACCTTCCCCTCTCCGGGCGGACGCTCTAACCACTACACCACGGAGGCGGTCAGTAAAATGTGTTTCAGCGGGATATTCAAGATAAACCGAAGCATGGTATCTCAGCGGGCTCAGTACTATCATAACATCGAATAAATACATTCAGCCACACAAACGCGTGCAATCAAGTAGCGATATAAGTGCAACAAACGTCAACACGATGTTAAACTCGTTTCACGACGAGTGTGCACACCCGTTGACACCCTCTTATATATTTACTTTACCGGTACAGACCCTCTGTGGCTAAGGGATCCTTAACAGAACCCGATAGGATAGCCCGCCTCCAATCGGCCGTTTCACAAACAGGTAAATTCAGCTTGTAAACAGGTAAAGTTAACAGCACTAGTGTTTGTTTTTGCTTGGCAATATGTTGTTATAAAGTGACCAAGCAGTTGAAGGCGTTTGAACGGTTCACATAGCTAGTTTTTCAATGTAGGCCAACGCGATAGCCGTACGCTGGTCCACTTACGACTGTGAGACCCCTGTAGCAGGGTTGAAATGTCACCAACTAACAACCCTTCCCTTGCTTGTATTCATGCGTACAGCAAGCCAATTTTTTCGTGTAACCCCGATAGTTTCAAAGCTTTATATTTAGATAGTATTGAGAGCGTGTCCAACTATTTTAGGAACAATCATGTGTATGCCCAGGCTTTCTTTAAAGGTAGTTACATCCCTGGCATTTAATATAAAAGGTCCACATGCCACGATGCATCGATTTCCTTCCTAACCGTGAACATACATCCTGTGTAAATTTATGGAAAACTGCGCATTTACCACACGTATACAGCTGACATTGCTATTTGTATTCACTAAATCCCTGAACCGCTTGCTCTCTCTTACCCGCGATTTCGTCATGTCACGTCAATAAGCGTGACCTATATCTGCCGTTGTTCGTACAGAGATCACATATGTTGGGCGAGCGTCTGGCATAGATGTTTCCACTTTGAAACAAGACCCAACCTCCTACAATTATGGGACCGTCCTTGATTTATGGGTCACTAGTATGCTGATCTACTCTTCAGTTGTTGGCGATCTATAGCCCAATTTTATTTTGTATTGTCCTAATAATCATATATTTTTTAAGTTAAATGCCAGTTTTAATACCCAAATGGTGATATTCTAGATGTTGAACTGTCACTCACTCATGATTTATGGCGAGGTGAGTGTGTGTGTGCGTGTGTGTGAGTGTTGATTTTACGAGGAAGTATGTACAATGTGAATAACTGCCGCCCCCAAGTTGTTTCTTGACAAAGCAAGCCCCCGACAAAGTTCCCCTACATGTGTACAAATTGATATAATAATGGTGAAGATTATGAAAGTATCTAATTTGCTTAAGTGAGCTTTAAACAGCTTTAGGTCAAGTATATGATAACATTCACAGGTCCTGATAATACTGATAATAGCACACATGCACGTACTTGATTAAGGATTGGGTTGGTTGGTTTGCCTTTTAACGCCGCACTCAGCAATGTTCCAGCTGTAAAACGGCGGTCTGTAAGTAATCTAGTCTGGACCAGACAAACTAGTGGTCAACAGTATGAGCATCCATCTACGCAATTGGGATACAATGGCATGTGTTAGTCGCCTCTTAGGTTACTGAAGATCAATTCTAACCCGGATCTTCACAGGGGGGAGACAAGTATGGGTTAGGTTACGAAAGATCAGTTACAACTCGGATCTTCACGGGTATGGGTACTTTGGGATAGTGGTGGATGAGTGTGATTGTTAATTGAGTTCACTCCTTCGTTGTTTCTCGGGTATCAGCTTTGGGGATAATAAGTAGTGACAATACACTAATTGGTGTAAGGGACCGTTCATTATTTATGGCTAGGGTGTGATGATGAATATTTAGGGGGGGGGGGCACCCATTTTGTTCTGGGTAGGTGGCGCGGTGTCAGCAGATGTGTACATACATATATTTAAAAATTATGCTTAGCAATTATGGGAAGGGAGGGGTTTGTCATTGAGTTTGTACATGTCACGCAGGGGGGTTCACTTAATTACTTTGTTCATTTTAGGGGGGTTGCCATTCACATTGTACATGCTGCTCCTTAAATATTATCATCACCACCACAACCCCCACCCCACACACACAAACACCTCTCCCAAACACACCCCACCGGCCATAAATTATGAACCGTCCCTTACCAGAAACCTTCCAGAGGTATTTTATGCGTGCTTCGACAGATTGCATCGACAAGGGACGCGGAAGCCTGTCGTCGTGTTGTTTGTGTTGCACGTTCGTGCGCATTGACCAGTGACGAATTTAACACTAATTATGTATTTCATTGCAAGAACAGACTTCAATACGTTCATGCTTTTTGACTCGTGAAAAAACATACTTAATTATGCCATACGTAAAGTCTAAATGTCGATGCGAGTCCTTGTGTTGGCAGAAGACACTGGACATGGAGCTACTGGAGAGCGTCCCTTATCTGGACCAGCTACTGGACTTTCTCAAGGGGAAGGAGGAATGGTTACCTAGGAGTCTCACCGGTCGGGCTGTTCTAGTGGGAACAATTGCCGGAGTAACCATTTATCTGATCAGCAAGAAGAGGTACAATCTACCCCCTGGACCCCGAGGATGGCCATTACTTGGGAACCTCCTAGGTTGGTTGGTATATTTGATGTTTACCGTATTATTCTGGCTTAATGATGGCTTTGTGTAAATTATCTAGTCTGGACCAGGGAAACCAGTGATTGACAATCAAGGCACTTTGGAAAAGATGACAGGTGTCAATCAAGTCAGCCAGCCTCATAAGCATATCCCGTTAGTCGCGTCTTTCGACAAGCATCGGTTGCATATGGGGGCGTCATGCGAGTGTATATTTCGTAACGTTTTGAGTGAGTGAGTGAGTTAGGTAAGATTTAGAATCACATCGGCAATATTGCAGCCATATCGTGACTATAACAATATATACTTTAACAATAAAGAAAAGTTATTTTGTAAAATCTGTCAACAAAGGACAGTAAAACAACTAGACTGTCACAGATGTGTTGTGTTTGTGTTTATTTCGGTACTTAATAAGGCCATATGCCTATAGTATATTACAATACAAAATATACAATCAGACATAGTATAAAAATATAAATAGAATTGTAAAAGCTCATCCAGCTAGATTGCAGACTCATTTTGAAATTATGTTAAATCTGTACATGGAGGCATGATAAATGAACATAGCTAAATCTTGCAGAACTTTACCATTTGTATTTGATAACAATAAATGAAATTTAGTTAAATTTGGGTATGTAAAGTAATAGGGTTGCAGGTATCTTTCTCTCAGTTGTAAGTAAACAGGACATACAAGCAGAAAATGATATTCATCTTCAACTGAACTTAAGTTACAAACATTACAAATGTTTTGGTCCCGACTAATGTTTTAATAACGTCCCGTTTCAATAAAAATATCATGGGAGGAACATCTTAAACGTGAAAGAGCAGATCGGAACTTTTTAACGGTAATCCTATAAAGGTAATCTTCCTGAATTATTTGTGATTTAAATAGTTTGTAATAAAAACACTTATTTGATAAAGCCAGTGAAGCAGTCCATGTCTGTATATACATATATTTTAGACCCGTGAAGATCCGGGTAGAATAGGTCTTCAGCAACCCAGTGAGTTGGTTTAGTTTTATGCCGCACTCAGCAATATTCCAGCTATATGGCGGCGGTCTGTATATAATCGAGTCTGGGCCAGACAATCCAGTGATCAACAGCATGAGCATCTATCTACGCAATTAGGATACGATGACATGTGTCAACCAAGTCAGCGAGCCTGACCACCCGATCCCGTTAGTGGCGTCTTACGACAAGCATGGGTTACTGAACATCAATTCTAACCGGGATCTTCAGGGGTCGGGTGCGTTAAATGTCATTGGTAACAGAAGAAATATCATACAAACATGTGAGTGTTCTGGAATATGATGCTAACACTAATGTCGTTAGTTTCTAAAAATCAGATGCAAGATGTCATTTTAACTTCAGAGTTCAGGAACAAAACTATCTACGAGAAGTTGACGGAGTGGAAGGCTGAGTATGGTCCAGTTGTGAAGTTCAATATGGGTGAGTAAACAGTCAGAAGTCACCAGGGGCGGATCCAGAGAAGGGGTGGGAGTAGTGGTCGGTGAAGGTTGCAAAATCCTGGATCCGCTCCTAGTCACGGATATTCATTCAGAAGCTGTAATTTTCTCCTCTTTTCCAATGTAAAATATATCTAATTCAGTACCACGTATACCCTTTACTCATTCGCTACACCAGCATAGTGTTCAGATCGGTTGGAACAACCAGTGCCCTCTTTGGACACTTGTGAGCAAGAGAAAGTGGTCAAAGTCACTGAGTGAGTGAGTTGCGTTTTACGCCGATTTTAGCAATATTCCAGCAATATCACGGCGGGGGACACCAGAAATGGGCATCACACATTGTACCCATGTGGGGAATCGAGCCCGGGTCTTCATTGTAACGAGCGAACGCTATAACCACTAGGCTACCCCACCGCCCCAAGCGATCAAAGGGACAGAAATGGTGAAGTCTTCAACATGGTCGTGAATAGAATAGAGATACCTTATGTATTTTACACTGGTTGTAATATATTGAGCAAACTTTATGGATAACAACTTCTTTTATTTGGTGAGTGCGACGTTTCGATACAGATGATTGTACCGTTGTCAAGCAGGAATCAAGAATCTGTATCGAAATGTCGCACGCACGAAATATAAGAAGTTGTTATCCAGAAAGATTGTTCAATATTGTATTCCCTACTTCTAAAATGCCACTGAAAGTAGCTGTATTATACTGGAGAATTCCAAACAGAATTGCCAAAAGAAGAATTTGGCCACTTACAAAGTAAAATTACATTTGTATAAAATATACTCAGCAGCAAAATAAACGTCGGTACGAATTCAAAACTACATAGGCACTGTAATCAAATCATTACAGAAATTGACATAAATGCAGATCAAAAACATTTTTTGTGTGCAATATCTTGACACATCATTGAATACCTCAGCACAATTTCAAGACTTTACGTGAACGTTTTCAGTCCATTCAGACTCTTGACTTCAGTATCTAGTGTGTCCACCTCGAGCGGCAATAACTGCAGAACCGCGTCTATGCATGGAGTGCACCAATCGATTGATGATTGGCACCTTGAACCACACTCTGGGAAAGGCCTGGCGCAATAAATCGGCTGTGTTCGGCCTTGGTATGACATTATTCAGTCTCCTCTGAATTTCATCCCAAAGATGTTCAATTGGGTTTAAATAAGGACTAAGGGCTGGCCACTGTATAATGTTGAGACCGTTCTGCTGTAGGAAGTCCCGTGTAGCTCTGGCAGTATGGGCCCGGGCGTTATCATGCTGGAAAATGTTGTTCCGGTGTTGATACACCGACTCGCATCTGTGAACAGAACAGTTCTCCATTGCCTGTATCGCCAGTTTTGGTGTTGTAGGGCAAACTGTAGACGTTCATGCCGATGGCGAGGGATGAGGATAGGTCCACGGTAAGGTCTACGGCAATGGAGGTTCCCGCTGTTAAGACGTCGGCGTACTGTATCAGTACTGATTGGTCTTCCGTGTGTTCCCACTGTCTGGCGTGTTGTTTCGGATGCCTACATGAAGGGATTCTGTACATGCTGTTGCACAACATGGCGGTCTTGTCTTCTTGTGGTCACCCTTGGTCTGCCAGTACGGGGGTGATCATTTGTGGTGTTGGTGGCCCGGAAACGTTGCTGCAGCCTGGAAATGGTCCGAACGTTGACCTGGAAGTGATTGGCAACTGCTTGTGCAGTATGGCCAGCTTCAAGTCTTCCTAGCGCTTGGTTCGTCTGAGCTGTCATGAGTCGCGGCATCCTGCTGACGTTGTAATGTGAATGTTTCAATCAGGTTTGGGGGTGCATTTTATAGGGCTCGTCCTTGTGAACAGCACATGCAGCAAAGTTGCATGAAACACATGGGGAACACCGTACCATCTCCGAGATCAGGTTGCGTTTTTAAGACCACTTCCTGGGTTCCATTCTGAGTTTGGGAAGGAATGTCTCTGCTCAGGTAAAGTTGGAGATGTTGTGAAAAATATACAACAAAACATTGAATGAGCTTACAGTTATCCGTTTCTGTGAAGGACAATTCCAAACTGACGTTTCTTTTGCTTCTTAGTATATGTCCAGGGAGACATTCTTCTCTCATTTCCACCAGGAGACTCAGAATATCCTTGACATACGCTATTGCGTGTACACTGATATACATACATCCGTGTTTGGCCATATGGAGTATTCACATTTTCAATAATAATAATAATACGAACCCTCTCTGCTACAAACTATCTTTAATCTCTAAAACATAATAATAATAAGTATAAGTGCATTTATATTGCGCTATTTTCCATCCGTTGCGGTTGCTCAAAGCGCAGGTATCAAGGATAGTACTTGGAGAAGAGATGGGTTGTAAGTTTGGACTTGAAGACAGCTAAAGATGGGGAGGTTTTGATATCAAAAGGAAGACAGTTCCAGAGAGAAGGAGCAGAGAATGACAATGATCTCTGGCCGAAGGATTTGAGATTGATCTTGGGGGTGGTAAATAGAAGTTGATCATTGGATCTCAGGTTTTTGCTTGAAGTATATTTCTGGAGAAGTTCTTTCAGACATCCAAGTACTGTAAAGAGATAGTGTTGCATGTGATGAATCATCTCCTTGGGTCGCAATAGTCGTTTGGGGAAAATTTCTGAAATGCTTCCTTGATCAACTTGTATAGAATATACATATGACAGAATTAATGTATCGAGTGTTAACACACATTCATCTATCAAATGATGGGCGTCATTTGATGGATCAGTTAAATATCTGATGAACGTTATGAAAATAGAATGTTCACGTTACAGGACATATGACAATGATCGGACTGAACAATATCGACGTCGTGATGGAGGCGCTGGTTAAAAGACAGGCTGATTTTGCAGGGCGGCCCGAGTCATATACCGGTAAATATGAGACGATTGATAGCATCTCTATTTCATCCAAAATTATATCATTAGACTTGGGTTTCGTTTATTTTGAGCTGTCAAATAATCGTTTTACAACCTGTTTTAATAAGATACACATCTTGTAGTGATCAAGATTTTGGCTTGATGACGTACAGTCTCCACGTCTACTGCTCCTAGCTGGACAAGAACATATATATCATACAAAAAGTGAGTGAGTGAGTTTAGTTTAGCTATATAGCGGCGGTCTGTAAATAATGGAGTCTGGACCAGACAGTCCAGTGATCAACAGCATGAGCATCCATCTACGCTATTGGGATACGATGACAACCAACTTTGCGTCAACCAAGTCAGCGAGCCTAACCACCCGATCCCGTTAGTCGCTTCTTACGACAAGCATCAGTTGCTGAAGACAGTTCTTACTGGGCTCTTTACGGGCTTCATGCAAAAAGACACGTGGTTGCTTTTTCTCCTTTGTATGCTCATAATTTTTCATTTCTTCATTTAAAATAATACATTGATGCCTAAAGTGCAGCCATAGTTACGGGTGACGAGGTCCAAAAGTATTCTGTTTAACGATATTCTCTTTTACTAAATGTCAGTATATCTCCAACGTAAATAGTAGTAGACGTACATACATGTATGAGGGCCTTTCAAAAATACCGTGTCGGGACAAAATAGTAAATGCATTATTTTATGCACGCTTAAGTGTATATTGTATTTTTCCCAAGCGAACCTCTTTAGTGATGGAGGGAAGAATATCGTCTTCGGTGACTACAGCCCTACTTGGAAACTACACAGGAAGTTGGCAACAAAGGCATTGAAGTGAGCTGCTTTATATAAAATATATTGTCATATAAGATAACAGTTTACTGGTATAGAAGGAAGACAATCTCTGACTCACGGTTTGAGTAAGATACGACATTGCAATTGGTGATAACAGTACGAGGCTGTTGGAGTGAGTGAGTTTAGTCTTACGCCCCACTCAGCAATATTCCAGCTATATGGCGACGGTCACGTTAGCCGCCTCTTTCGACAAGCATGGGTTACTGAAGATCAATATTCTAAACCGGACCTTCACGGGTACGGGGCTGTTGGATAGCTAAGGGGGCTTACCAGCCAATACCCATTACTTTACTAGTATATTTCTTACAATAATTTAAACATGTTTAAATTTCATTAAGAAACCCGATGTAGTCACAATGTGACAAAATACGGGGGGTTAACACGACTCGCCATTTTACGTGTACAAGTTTTAGACAAACCAAAATGGCACCACCCTTCAGTGAAACAAACAAAAACCATCCAAGTAATATAAAAATCAGTTTTCAGCCTTGCTAATCCACTTGCACCGAATCTTAAGGGATGTTCCCAAACTAAAGTTCGCACGAATTTCCATCCATGTATGGAAAATTGAAGAAAATGTGTTGCAATACAGTATGACAAGTTGTAAATGTAGTTATTCCTTGTGAACTAATGCCACGACTGCCTCGATCTGTGATGACTCCAGCAATAACATATTGTCCGTGTCATCGCTTTCGGTTCCTCTCCGGCTTATTCAGACACTACATGACTGGTAACCACCTCGACGAGGGGATAGAGCGCTCACTGACCAAAGGCATCGCGATGATAAAGGAGATTAAGGGGCCCTTCAATCCTCATCACGCTGTCTCCCTCATTGTGTTCAACATCATCAACAATATCTGCTTCAATTTCACGTGAGTAAACTTTGTCCAGCGTTCAATATCGGGATCTATGGCACCTGTGGCCAAAGGTAACCTTAAGAAAACTCAAACATTAAATGGACATACCAATATGGGCCTATCTTGCCACCTTCCTCATGCACTTCCTGATATGGGCTTACCAGTACCAGTACAACCTAATATGGGCTTATCATCCCACGTTCTACACGTACTTCCTAATATAGGCTTATCCTGCCTCGTTCTACATGCACTTCCTAACACTGGCTTCTTATCCAACATGTTATCGGTACTCCCTAGTATGGACTTATCCTGAAACATTATACCGGTACTTCCTAATATGGGCTTATCCTGCAACTTTATACCGGTACTCCCTAGTATGGGTTTATTTGATTTGTTTGAGTGGCATTCTAGAAGTTGGTCGTATAGAGATGACAAGACTTTATGGATAATTAACTTCTATATTTTTACAATAGCGACGTTTTGGTATAGCTTCTTATACCGTTTTCAAGCATGTGGGGGGAATGATGGGGTACACCAGTTTATATACAAGATACATGTACATATGATAATGAGATAACAATAACAAAGGTGGGATAGCGAAGCTTATCCTCCTATAATCATTGATACCAATGACACTATCACTGTGATCTAAACCATAACAGATGCGAGGTCAGTGACAACTACTTCAGAAATATGCTGCATGTTCTGAATATCTTTGTGGAAGACACCGGCAACGGCTTTCTTGAGGACGTAATTCCACCTCTCCGTCTCTATCACACCAAGAAGCTTAGAACTATCCTGAAAGAATTGGGTATATTCTTTGCTTCACTGAATGGAGAAATTGACAAACATCGACGGACCATACGTAAAGGTACATACAGGTTTTTTTCCACTTCGCTAAAGGTTAATCGCTTTTTACCTTCATTGTTACACTATGATCTTCATTTTAGATTTAAATCATGATAACAATAAATTGAGCTGACTCAAAAGAGCTAAGGATGTTGAAAATATTAGCTTTCGTGAAAGAGCTGAGGAAATTGGACATCATCTCAACGTCGGCGAGTATTTTGTAGACGGTTCTGACGGTATAGTGATAAATGTCAAGCAAGCGAAGCGTTTTATTATCTGAACGACCGCTGGACCGAGTTAACGTGCAGAGAAGCTCAAGACCGCTCAAAACCGGTCTTTTCCCGCTGATAAACGTCAATATGCGATTTCTCGTCAAAATGTAAGACTGTCCAACTACGCTTTTGTAATACCCGGCTCTGGCACAGTGTCATAATGGCGTTGCTTGGTCCTTTAATTATCGTCTCCGCCATGCTTGTGGTTTTGACACAACGGTCCACTCATGTCACAACCTACAATACGTGCAGGGCATTTTGGAAAATGATAGCCCCAAATACAGACTTAGATGTATCCGAGCCAAGGAACCTGATCTTGTCCTGATAAAGCGACTGAAATAAGTTTTATCATTGAGTCCATTTTTTCAGAAGTGTGATTGATGAGAATGAGAAAAAGACAAGGCAAATGTACACACCTTGCCTCTGAAATGTCTTGCTTGGATCTCAAGTATACTGTTGTCAGACCCCGTTTTGTTCCTGGTGTCCATAGTCTGATCTCATAAAACATTTCAGGAGAACACGGGACCTCTACAGGAGCACAGCTATTTTGACACACTGGCTAGTGATGCAGTGTTGTTGTTGTTTTTGTTTTGTTTTGTTTTGTTTTGTTTTGTTTTGTTTTGTTTTGTTTTGTTTTGTTTTGTTTTGTTTTGTTTTGTTGTGTTGTGTTGTGTGTGTTGTGTGTGTGTGTGTGTGTGTGTGTGTGTGTGTGTGTGTGTCCATTCTCTCCAGAAGGTTCTTCATCATGGTTGGCAAAGCAAGGTTTTCTCGGAGAAGCCTCATTTGCTGCCTGAACTGTGTGTAAATGGGGCAAGGGTACCTGGAATGCTGATGAGATCCATCAGCCTGATCAGCACCCTCTTTGCTGTATTCATTTATTTAAAGTAGGGGTGGGCGATAATATCGGTTAACCGGTATATTGCAATTTGAACTTCACAATAAGATATATAGCGGTACACTTTTCGCGAACCGTTTACCCGATACGATCGGCAATTTCCGTGACCATGATCGGTAATTTTCGTGATGTAGTAAAAAGTACTAATAACATTTGTGTTTCCTTTGTATTATTACACATTAATAGTTTTGAGAATGTTTATTGGTCAGAACTTTAGAGCGATGTCTTCAATTTGGAAACATATTGATCTCTTGTATAATCACATCTGTGTCATGACAGTGGTCAGTGGCATTGTTTCAAAAGAGAGGAAGCAATAATTTCATTAGCTTATACCATCTGTTAGACTTTCGCAGTATATTGCAATACATATTGCAATACGCCAACACATATCACAATATATCACAATGCGAAAATTATCGCAATACCTAACACTAATTTCAATCTGTAAAATAGTAGCAACAAATATTCATTTCTATAGGTTCTGAATGTGGTATACATCCATAAATGCCTACGAAAAGATTCAAGAGTTTCAGAAACTGAGTATGACAGATATTGTAGAAGTAGGGCTTTGACAGAAAAATATCACATCTCATTACGTTTTGTTCACTCATACTGACAAGTGGAATTTGTACACAGATTGCAGATTATGATCTGGTTTCTGCACTTGAAGGAGCTATTTGAGAAACAGGAAAGATTCTCTCTTATTCCATATATTACGATCTTTGTTAAGCATAATAACATAGATGTTCTCATGGCAATAAGAGAAGCATTAATGTGCTTCTCTCTATCAATCGTTTTGTTCCTTACGTTGTCCAAACAGATAACATCCGTGATTTCTGTGATGCCATGTTGCTGGCTCAAGAAGAAGCCTATCAGGAGGAAGGCCCGGATGTGATGTCACAAATGACTGACGCCCATATCACTCAAACTCTGTCTGATATATTTGCCGGTACATATTTGAACTTACCTTTTGTGTACGTTTTCGTCGATCCAATGTCTCTCTTCCTGTAAGTGTTAACGTTTAGTTACATTTTTGGACAACTGTTTTGTATCAAATAGGAAACATGTTTTGCCACACAGGCCCCAGGTGGAATGGTTAATGCGTAGATTCTATGATCTAAATTGTTCATACAGCCATTTAACATTCAATTTTGATTTTGTGTTTGCGATAGGATATCGTTTGTCTCTCTTCTATTTTGTACTGAAACATTCAAGTCCTTTAATAATACGTGTGAAGTGATCGTTCTGCATGTCCAAATTACACTGATCATTGTGCATGTGCAGCTGGGATGGACACCTCTCGCTTCACCCTGCTGTGGACCCTACTTGCCCTGGCAGAACATCCAGACATTCAAAACAAGCTTCACTCTGAGATCGACGACGCACTGGGTACGTTTGATCCCATTACATAGAGATATGATGATAATTATGGGATGATGATGATACAGCGATAATTTTATACACTGATCTTATGACATAGAGATATGACGATATGGTATGATGCAGTGATAGGTTTTCCGATTAAGGCGTTAAGTTTACCGTGACAGCAGCAATGTTTATTGAATCGGCGAAGTTACGGTAACGGCCGAGAGAGTAAATAATGGCACCCATACTCTGTTGCTCTGTTGAACGTCGAAACTCCTAACTTAATCGTGGTGACTGATACGTTTTCTAGGTAGTTTGGTTCATGGTCAGTGACCCATTTATCCATCAATACCTGAGAACTCGTGGGATGGGATGTTACGAATACCTTTTATGCTTACCACTGGTCAATAAGTGTCTTGACAAAAGGCTAAGGATTTACAATGAACAACGCGGTCTAAAGTAAAGCCGGATAAAGCAACCGTAAAACGATGATAAAGTATTAAGATGATATGATGGTAGGATATTATCCATATTTGTGATATAGTAAAATATGTTATTTTATGATGGTATCATGATAGGATGAATTCCGTTAATACAACACAGACTTATCAAGAATAATTCCACCTGACCTGATATGACCTTCAGATTTTCTCGTACCTAATACAGGCTTACAAATGTGCAGGTGAACGTCAATTCCCCAGTGTATCAGACAGGAGTAGTCTCCCTTACACTGACGCTGTGCTGCACGAGAGTATGAGGCACCACACTGTGGTACCAAGCGGACTTCCCCATAAAGCACTGTGCGATACGAAAGTCGGTAGGTCTCTTTTCAACGATGTCCACGATGTTGGAGATATATAGATATTTTCAATATTGGCCACGGAACAAAATTTTGATGGCTATTCATTTTTGCGTTGGATGGACTTATTTACTAACACGTCAAATTCACATTTCAGAGGCAAAACATGCCAGGGGTTTACACGTCATTTTTCCCTTTTATTGTATTGTTGTAATCTGTTGATGACGGTTTCATCACATTACTTTGGCAAATAACGGACTTACGTCATACGAGGACAGTTCATTTAATATTCTTAGGTTGTGCAGGGATGATGGGTGATTTTGTTGGGTGGTTGTTTAAGGTCGCTCTCAGCAATATTCCAGCTATGTTGCGGCGGTCCGTAATTAAACGAGTCTGGACCAGAAATTCTAGTGATCAACAGCAAAAGCATCGATCTACCAATTGGGACACGGTGACAAGTGTCAACCATGTTGGCGAGCCTGACCACCCGATGTCGTTCGTCGCATCTTGCGACAAGCATGGGTTGCTGAAGACAAATTCTATCCTGGATGTTCACGGGTATGGGTGTTTTGGGATAGTGGTGGATGTGAGTAATTTTTAATTGAGTTCACTCCTTCGTGTGTGTATCATAAATTGGGTAACTGCGACTTTGAGGAAGATATCACTACTTGTTCTTGCCCATCACTGCCTAAAAACTTTTTTCAAATATTAATTTTTCAGGTGGTTATGACATTCCAAAAGGAACAACCTTGGTCATCAACCACTACGCGCTGCATCAGGATCCAGAGCAATGGAGTGACCCGCATATATTCAATCCAGATCGGTTCCTTGACCAGAATGGCAAGATGGCTACCAAACCAGAGAGCTGGCTTCCGTTCTCCGCGGGAAGAAGAGTTTGTCTCGGAGAGAGCGTGGCCAAGCCGGAACTGCATCTTCTGCTGGCTGGAATCATGAGGCATTTCAAAGTGTCCCTCCCACCTGGAGCTAAGGTGAACACAGAGCCACGTGGAGGATCTTTCGCAAACGTACCACAGGATTATGAACTCACCTTTGAATCGAGACTATAGATGACATGCATTAATCCAGTTGTGAGTTGTAGTTTAATGTTCCAGCTTCATGAAATCAGCCTGCAAACAGACAGCCTCAAATCCTAACCAATCCATTCTTAATAGTCCTTGGTATCCTGAGCATTTGATATACAAATCCAACCTGTAAAATATATGATCACTGTTATGTTTGTATTGAGATATATATGGACATTTTTTGACGCCCAAGTATCAAGTGATGTGTGGTCCTGTGCATAGAGCTCAGGTCACAAAACAGTTGAAATTAAGCAACGCTGGGCGCCGAGAGTACTTCGATGGATGACAGCATGTGTTTAACAGCGTTTTTGGCAGCTTGACTCCTGAGAGTTTCTAAGATTTCAGTCCTGACCAACAACGAAGCGCATGTGATACATATGCTCTCACCTTAGGGAAGTGAGGTTATGTATAACATTCTAGCGCCTAAGGTAGCTTGGGGTATCCGGTGTAATAATATCTTAGCGCGTGCTTGCGAGCGTGGATATGTGCGCTTTATAAATATGCACTATTCTTTATTATCAAATGTCTGTCATCTCTATAATTTATTTACATTGTTAACATATGCAAGATAGAACTGACGCAGAATAACATATGACTACGATAATTCGAATGCATATCCGAACCTCTGATGACAAGTCCTACGATGATTTGCGAAATATAGACCGACGTTTTAATGCCATGTTGATCTTCTTTACAACACGAATTCTTGTTTGATTCATGGATAATTGAAGGTGATGGAAATGCTGATAACTTCATACAGAGATTTTCTGTGAACCATTGCTATTTCAATTACTTTGTGTTTTGCTCCCTATGGAATATGCTTCTTCCGCAGACTGATTCCTCTACAGCGGTGGGGTAGCCTAGTCGATAAATCGTTCGCTCGTCACGCCGAGGTCCCGGGTTCGATTCCCTACATGGGTACAATGTGTGAAGCCAATTTCTGGGGCCACCGCCTTGATATAGCTGGAATATTGCTTAAAGCGGCGTAAAACCATACTCACTCACTCTCCAATGGCGATGTTTTGAATGGCCATATACACACAGCAATGAAATCAAACTCACAGTTTTCTGTCAAACTGTATGGTCACTAAAGTTCGAATCTTAACTAAGTTGTAAGGAAAATTCTCATAAGAATGGCAGTTAATCTTCATTGTCGGCATACAGTTTCCAGATTTAGAAACCGGTCTTTTGTAAGACCTTATTTAACATTATCGGTTATTCTGTTTTGATTATTTTTAAAATGCTTGCTTATAGGTATACATGCAAAAAAACAATATACTATTATAGTTACTGTATCAATTCCAAGCAATTTATATGCAAAAGTGAAAACGTTTTTTTACAATGAGTATATTTAACCAGAGATGCATCGTTTTCTTCGTTTTCAGTACTTAACTGTTTTTGTAATGCTTTTTATTTCGATTATTACTTTTGATACAAATATGTAGCAGTTTTGACCATGTGGCCTTATATTCTGAATAAAGACTCTTTAATTGTTGTTTTTTCTGTTTATGGATTGTGGTGTGATCAAAAGTAATAGTTACGAATACAGAATTTGTGATATGCAATCTTTGATGTGAAACTTGGAGTTAAATTTATAGTTGAGGTTTCTCATGGTAATGAAAAGGATATTGACACTTTTAGTGCAGGGAAGCTTAAGGTTTGCCCATGGGGATGCGTATTTCTTGTACGTGTTTTACCCTCAAAATTCAATCCCAGCCCAGCATTTCCCGCATTGTTTTCTCAGTAAACATCAGATAACATTTGCTTTCACTTTTGGGAAATTGTCCTGAACTCCTGAAGATACATATACTCGGCGTCATTAATCAAGGGTCAGGCTATTGGTAACACTATTTCTGCAAAGTTTAACATCTTCGTTTTGGTTTGATATATATACAACTGAATGTTTTACAAACGTTCTTAACATATCAGGCCGTAAAAATGTCATTATTACGTTCTTTAAGGTCCGATACATTCTGTTACAATTTGCACATTTTGTATTGCAATTGTCAATATGGAAATCCACTTAATGCCAATGATTTAAGTTGTTTAAGTCGTTCTGTTAGGTTGGTTGGTTGATTGTAAGGGCGGGTATTGCAGAGAATTTTCATAATGCAATATATTGCGATACGAAAGCATGTATTGCGATATGTATTGCAATATATTGCATGAAGTATTTTTAAACAAAAAACTACTTATAATCGAGTTACTTCTTGATTTATAGAGCAAAAACACAACAAAATCACTAGGCTTGATTAAGCTTTAATAACAACTTATAATCATGATAAAATATTTCCGAGTGTTACGAAGTTTTCCGAATGCAAGTCAAAATACCGATTTTCGATCAGCGTATCGCAATACGTATCGTTTTCATGTCTGAACCGGTAAATACCGGGAAACTGGTTATATTGCGCAGCGCTAGTTGGTTGGTGTGTTGGTTAACGCTGCTGACCTCAGCAATATTCCAGCTGTATGGAGGCGGTCTGTAAATAATCGAATCTGGTTCAGACAATCTAGTGATCAACATCATGCGCATCATTCTAGTCAAAACAGTGATTGCACAACAGTCTCGTTTCCTGCTGACTGGGTTTCGTCCTACTGCGCAACTTAGTACAATAATCAGGCCAGAATTTTGAGACCAACCAATTCATCTGGATATATAAATATTAATCAGTATTATTGGATATATCTAATCACCTGTATATTGCAACACTACGCTCCTTCTAATACTTGCAAACACGCCGTGCAGCGTGCTCTGTCGTACAACGTGCTCTGACAAATGGAAATCGTGGAAATCTCAAAACGAGGCTCGGCAGCTATAACATTTTAGTGGTTTGGTACGGACTTGATATTATATCCATCACATTGTACGTTACAAACATACACTTAATAAGCGCAAAGAACACATAAGATGTGTAACCAGTGAGCCAGATGAATTGTGAATCATTGTACCTCTTCAAACAGGGGCAGTCTGTGACGTCTTAGTTAACGACCTCGACATAAGCTACAGAAATACGATCTTTTTAAACTGTAAAATTAAAATTAATTTATAAATACCCATTTGTTATGAAACAAGGAATTGGAATTTAGAGTAACCATGGTTGTTTGTAGTGTCTCTTTTCACTTTCACACGAGAAGATTCGGATCGGCTGAAAAGTAGGTCATTGTCTGAATTAGTTAATGAGACTCACGTTTCGGTTAGCAATTGGGATACAATGACATGTGTCAACCAAGTCAGCGAGCCTGACCACCCAATTCCGTTAGTAGCCTCTTACGACAAGCATGATTGTGTTACTGAAGACCAATTCTATCCCGGGTCTTCACGTGTCTAGTCTTTTAGGAAATAGTCAGAAACATGCATTTGTTTCAGAGACACTTTCATTCTTTGGTTATCAATGCGATTGATAAGGAGCAGGAGATCAAGATGCATGTGTCTTGGCCGCGCGAGGAAGATACACAAGATATTGAATTACCGAGTGCTTCATGTTTGTCGTTTTCATTTTGGAGGTTGGTCTATACAACTGATGTTTTCTAGTGTTGTTTGAACTTTTTGTCTGTATGTCACGATATGTCACGTTTGTCAACAGATTAAACGTTATGATGGCATCTTAGTTGTATTATTTCTGATAAATCTTTCTTTACATGTGCTATATATTGTTTGACCCTAGTATATAAAGACGCCTGGTATATATATAGCTCTATACACAAATGCCCCATGGATAAAGGAATGTTATGGGTAAGGCTTATCGTGAATCTTTGAGACAGTGATTTTTACCAGCATTATGCAGATGTACGGAATGTTTTAGCTGTTGAATCCAGTAGACAAGAAGAATGGACATGTATGCAGGAGTCCTACCATGAGTTGAGAGATGACATAATTGCCTCACATGTGACATGTTTTATATGTCACTTTTACCAAGGTCCTTGATCAAACGATTAATGAGTGATGCTTTCTGAGGCTTTGTCAGTGGGAACAACAAAAAACGCCGGACATTGGGCGATAAATGGCTGGGACGGAAACGGTCTCATATCTTTGTGTTTGTGCATTATCCCACTTTGAAAGATATTCAACAGGTAAATTGAAATTGTTGAAGTGCATAATGAACTTGCTTGTCGATCTGTTCGTCCAGATTTAACAAAAGTCTTTATGCGACTATGTTGTAATGGCCATTCCAGATTTACCCATGACAATTTATTGAAACGTGAGGATCCTCCCTTTTGTTTCCCTAATGAAAGAATCAGAATGTAGCAAGTCCAGCCTGCCTGTGTTTGGATAATACAAGGTGTAAATATTTGACAGTTTCATTCATAGACGAATACATCCTGGAATACATGTTAAAAACCGTGTATTTCTGCTGTTAACATTGCTGTTTTCTTCTCCTCCTTGGCATAGTAATTCCTCAAGTCGACCTTACATTGGTCACCATGTACATAAATCAGAAACAAACGAATTACATTGTAGGCAAAAATTCAGAAATAAATATAATACATACAAATCCTTATTTGTAGATTGATCCAAGGATAGTGGAGCAATTGCTTGTGTCACTGTCATTGAATCCAGAACAATATCATCCAGATTACCGAATAACAGCTCAATTTTCACAGCCTTAGCAAACGCCGTATTAACGCTCTAAAATATATTAATAAACACCCCAAATACTGACAACATATAATCTTTTCAGACTCTCGTTCGTGCCGTCAGGCTATTATCGTCTTTTGCTGGTTACCCAGCCATGTTAGAATTAATGGGTGAGTGAGTGAGTTTAGTTTTTCGCTGCACTCAGCAATATTCCAGCTATATGGCGGCGGACTGTAAATAATCGGATGTGGACCAGACAATCCAGTGATCAACAGCAAGAACATCAATCTACGCAATTGGGATACGATGACATGTGGCAACCCATTCAGCGAGCCTGACAACCCGATCCCATTAGTCGTGGAATCAATGGTAACACGATGGCTGATGCTGCAGTTACGTATAAAACTGTTATTACATCTTACATCGGTGATCTAATGCAAAAGTGGGACACCCAAGTAAGTATAAATAAATTACATGCAATAAAACCCTATATTGGTTACACCTATTTGAAGAGGCCAATTCAAGACTGTCATTCTCGATATAATCATGAATACCTGTTGAAAGCATTCGTGAGCAACTTGTGTTATTCCGTGACAAGCCGAATATCGACTCGTGCCCTTCTGGAAGGATTTCACATTGGCATATGAACACCAGAACTACTTTATACAAGAACGATAACTCTATTCATGCTTGATTCTATTTGTACTTAATATCACCAACGTACTCGTACACTGTATGGCTATTGTTATTTTCGTTTTTATTTATTCAATATTGAAATAATTAAACTAATTAAAAGAAGGTGTAAAATATTTGGTAAACACACATTCCAACGTAATTATTACCTGCTGTAATATATCTCCAAATGTATATTACTAAGGCGGGTTTAAGAATCACAAATGGGATTTGTTTTATTGAATGTGCAAATTAAATAATCTTTTTTCAGCTACATTGAATACCAAAGCAGATACTCAAAAATGACTTGAAAATATTTCTGAAAAAGAACATCTATGTAACCTTGCTGCCATTCTCTGGTGGAATTCTAAATTGAATAGGCTGAAAAAAATATGAATGACCCCCAAAAGGCCAGGCTAAACTATCCCCAGAGATGTGAACTATAGTCACTGTTAAAGATTAAATTCAAGTTTATAAGTTATATATAGGTATAATATTAATGCTTTGAAACCCGTAGCGATTTATAAGTATATTTCCTACAAATGCTGGAAAGCGCACGTACATTCTCCAAAACAAGTCCACAAGATCGTCAGAAATACACCCAAGTGGACCCATGAGAGCCGTTATGTAAACAAACGCACGTGTGTGTTTTTGAATATCTCACTGTCCATGGCATATATCCTTATTAAAAACTTCACACCAGGCAATACAATTCTGTTAGCTACTTTCTATGTACATTAAATATGACAAAATATATTTTTCATGATTTTTTAAACAATAACATAATGCCATAAACGATTTTAGTACTCGGGATAATTGTTTTTAATCAATTATTACACGCGTTCTGATTGCATTGTCGTATTTTCGCACATAACAAGCATCGAGAGGGAGACGAGTCCTCTTGCAGGTTACGAAAAGGAGTGCGTGGTGACGAATGCTGTTGAGAGGTGAGCTGAGATGAGGTGAAATGGGGTTTAACGTCGTACTTAAGAATATTTCGCTCATATGACGACGTGCATGAGAGTGTACGTGTGGCTGCTTGTACTAGGCCAGAGTTCAGCTGGTTTTATAGTGCTAGCCCACTGAGATACCATTCCTCAGTTAAGCATGGACGCCCCACTCAGACACGTTACACTGACTCCGAGCCGGCCAGTCCTTGTTGTACCCATTAATGCCGAGCGCCAGTCAGGGACCAACAAGTTCCATATTTTATCGTTTTTTTGTGTGACGCAGTCGGGGATCAAACC